AGTACAACAATTTGGTATGATCCGTAGTGAAGCTGACCATTCTGTTTTTTATCGTCACTCACCCCAAGGGTGTATTTATCTTATTGTGTATGTAGATGTCATTTTCATAACTGGTAGTGATCAGCAGGGGATATTCTAATTGAAACAACATCTCTCGAAACAATTTCAGACAAAAGATCTTGGTAAACTCCGCTATTTCTTGGGTATTGAAGTAAACCCAATCTAAAGATGGTTTGGTGATTTCTTAGCAGAAATATGCTATGGATATTTTGGAAGAAACAAGTTTGTTAAATGCTAAACCAGCCGATACTCCTATGAATACAAGTGTTAAACTACTACCCAATCAAGGGAGCCTCTATCTGACTCTGAAAGATATAGGAGATTGGTTGGAATACTGTACCAAAAAAACCAACTAGGTAGTTGCAGTGGAATACCTGCCTATTCTAATACCACTAATACCCCCTGCAAGCTGAAATGAGAGGGATGAATTGGAATCCCACACAGTTAGCTTGGATCTGAAGTCTTCAAACTTGGTTGGAGGCAATGCTTTAGTCATTATGTCAGCACATTGTTGTTGACTAGAGATATGCAGCACCTCTAACTTTTTGTTGAGAACCTTTTCTCAAACAGAGGTTTAACTCCATGTGTTTGGTTCAAGCATGAAGGATAGGGTTATGAGCAAGAGCAAGGTTATCGCAATGAATAGTAGGAGTGGAGTAAGAAATGCCCAATTCTTGAAGAAGGGATTGAACCCATAGTATCTCAGAGGTGGCTAGGGCCAGACTTTGATGCTCAGCTTCAGTGTTGGATCGAGAAATAACCGGTTGTTTCTTAGCCCACCTGGAGATGAGAGTCTTAGCCCACCTGGAGATGAGAGTCTAGCCTAGAAAGACACAGGCACCAGAAGTAAACCGGCGGTCATCAGGGTCAGAACCCCAATCGGCATCACAGAAGGCGTGAAGCGAAATAGGAGAGACTGGCACAGGCTCAAAATGCAGGCCACATGAGGTGGTGCCTTTGAGGTACCTTAAAATCCGCTTGACAGCTAGCCAATGAGTGTCAAGTTGGCTGTGTGATTGTAGCATATTATAGGGCACTTACAATGGGTCTGTACATAGTTGGGCCAGGGAGAGCATCTGAACCAGTTTTGGACTGTTTGAGGCCAGCAACCATAATTGCCTCAAGCATGTTGGTTTTAGTGAGAAGGTCTCTTATCTATTTTCCTTGAGAAAGAGAAAGTGAGCCATTAGGGTGATATTTGACCTCAATGCCTAAAAAGTAGTCAAGTTTTCCTAGGTCTTTGAGTGAGAAGATAGAGTGGAGTTGAGACACAAGGGATTGAGTGAGGGTGATGTTGTTACTAGTGACAACAATGCCATATACATAGACCAACATGTACGCTAGGTCAGAATTGTGAGAATAAACAAAAAGTGAGGGGTCACCCTTGCTAGGCACAAACTGCAGCCTGAGTAGTAGGGAAGACTTGAGGCGGTCAAACCAAAGCCCTCGGGCTTGTTTTAAGCCATATAATGCCTTGTGAAGTCTACATACAAGGGATTGAGTGAGGGTGATGTTGTTACTAGTGACAACAATGCCATATACATAGACCAACATGTACGCTAGGTCAGAATTGTGAGAATAAACAAAAAGTGAGGGGTCACCCTTGCTAGGCACAAACTGCAGCCTGAGTAGTAGGGAAGACTTGAGGCGGTCAAACCAAAGCCCTCGGGCTTGTTTTAAGCCATATAATGCCTTGTGAAGTCTACATACAAGTGACTTATTAGAAGACTCAACGCCAAGGGGTTGAGTCATGTAGACTTCCTCTTCCAAGACGCCATTAAGAAAGGCATTATTTACATCAAGCTGATGTAAATTCCATCCTTGAGGATAGTTCTGACAGTTACTGGTTTGATGACAGGTTAAAATGTTTCAGTATAGTCATCACCATATCTTTGATGAAATCCCTTGGTGACCAATCTAGCTTTGAGTTTGTTTATTGAGCCATCCGAGTTTTCTTTGACTCTGAACACCCATTTGCAGCCAATGGGAAGTTTACCTGGAGGCAAAGGAACAAGAGACCATGTTTTATTCTTTAGGAGGGCATCATACTTTTGAGTCATGGCTGCAAGCCAAGTAGGACTACTCAATTCTTGCCTAACTATGCGAGGTTCAGCATGAGCAATGAGCAATGTGGAATGTAACCTTGGGCATAGAATGCCATCTTTAGACCTTGTAACCATAGGGTGAGTGCTGGCTGGAGCAGTTACAGGTTGGGGTGTGTCAGGGGAGGATGAAGGTACTGGAGCAGAAGAGGAGGAGGGGGAGTTGTTGGAGGAAGTGGTGGAAGGAGAGTGCTGGAATGAGATCAGGCATTGAGTTATTAGTAGAAAGGAGTGGACTTTGATGTGTGTGAGAGCTATCTACAGTGATTGGTGAAGGTGATGAGGTGGCTGCATTTGTGAGATTAGGTGGGTGATTTTGAGTGATTGTTGGAATGAGGGCAGAGAGATACGTGGACTGGCAGGGATGCTTGAGAGAGAAGTGTAAGGCCCATTTCCACAATATGCCTATGTTTGTGCTCTACTACTCCATTCGCAGAGGTGATCGTGCTCTTGCGAGACTGATCAAGACGCGATTCATGGCATAGAAGTAGGGTTTCAACCTCCTCAATAGATACCGATCCAAGTTTTCTGGTGATTAAGCTGATAGTAGACTCGTAATCTTGAGGAAGACCTTCGAGAATCACATCGAGATGTTTGTGAGCAGAAATCGGTTCGCCAATCGCATTGATTGAACTGATTAACGATTGAACACGAAGAAGAAACTCAGAAACCGAGTTCTTGCAGTTTTCCAGTTTCCCAGTTTCGTATGCCCTAGTTCAGATCGGCGTTGCAAGAGCTTCGCTGCAGTGTGTTTTTGAAAGTATGCATGGATCTTATCCCAAAGCATCCACGAAGTTTTGCAGCCAATGACATGACGAAGAATGTCGCGAGATATGGTGGACTGCAGCCACGCAAGGAGTTGATATTGCTGCTCCCAGTCTTCAAACTCGGGTGACATGATTGTTGTTCGCATTCTCAACGGAGGCGAATTTGAGTGGAATTTGAGGATTGAGAAGAAAATGATGAAGTTAATGCGCTTTGATCACAGGTTCTACCTGTTGACACCATAGGAGATAATTTTCTGAATCGAGTTTTTCAGAAATTGCAGAGGAGTACTTCTTCTTTGGAGAAGACGCATCACATCAATTTTATAATTTGTTTTTCATACTAGTTTTTATAATTTGTTTTATTTCTGCTAGTTAAACTGAATACACAGTGCAGTGCTATATATAAGCTCACTAAGCTTAACTGAATCTGTTAGACTATTCCTAGAATTAAGGGATTCTGTTAGGAGGTAGTTGGGAATGGGGAGAACTACTGTGCAGTTTGTGCACAGTAGTTACAGTAAAATACTTGCCTATTCTAATATCTCTAATACCTCCCAATGCCAAAAGACCCTATTCCTTTCAAATTGATAAGAATAGATAATTCCCTCTTTATTCTTCCTTTTTGTTCAGAGGCAGCATGCTTTATTTGGCTTGACTACCCATCAACAAAACTACTAGTTACCTATTAACTAACTGATCAACTATTTAACTAACAAGTAACAACTTCTTAACTAATAATAACAAACCTATCATCATATCAAGCAAATCTATGAATGGTGGAAGCCATTATTTTGAAAATAGGAATACTTTATAACTGGCCGCTGTTATAACTGTCAATAGTTAGTTAGCAATTTGGAGATTAGCGAGAGCAGAGTCTATTAATAGAAGAATCAAGAATGTAATGTAGAGGCATGTTTGTCAAATAATAGTTGTATTGGAAGTTTTCAGGTTCCTCGAATAACACGAGAGATTTGTGTTCAGAAATAAAGCATTCAGAGGGGGTTCAATTTTTGCCTTAAGAGATTCAACTTTTGCATCCCTTACTGGTTGCAATTCTATCAGCCGGTATTAGAGCTGGTTGCTGGTGGCTTGGATAGGGCGACCTGTGAAGGGGCTGGCTGGAAAAGCCTATTAAAGCGTTGCAGAGTGCAGCTGCCGGAATGTCAGCTCTCCAGGGTGGTGCTATGATAGAGACTTGCTATTATGGGGTGCCCAAGTCCTGCATTGAGTAGTATGGCGTGTTTGGTAAATTATTTAAGTGGCCTAGTTATTCCCCTCTTAATAGCTAGCTTTTAAGGGAAGGTTCTTCAAGTTCTTCGTTACTTATCACATTCTAACTTGGTAATAAAGCAAATCACAATTACAATAGCTCCAAATCATATTAAGAATTATTGAACAAATTCACAATCCACAACAACTTAGCGCGCAAAAAGAGCGTATATGTTCAAATTCGTTTGCCAAAATGACAAATCACAACATTTAAATTCCTTGAACAAATGTTGGTGGGATTGGGCTTCCCTGATTGGAGCTAGATTCAACTCGGTAGAGCTGGGTTTCAGCTCATCATAATCAGGTTTATTCATCTTGTTGGTCAGTTGGGTTCAGTGTAAACCTGGAATATGTAATATACAAGTTTTTCAATTCAATTCAATTCAATGAAACTAGTTAGTTATAATGAAATTAAGGTTTTACTCTTATTTGGCATATTGTGGTTTGGGATATTTGGAAGCTTTCAGATGAGTGCATTTTCTCTAACTTAGCCCTTGATGTTTCGTTGGCATTAGATCCTATTAAGGTGACTTTATGGAGATGGTTGTTAGCTAAATTTATGGTTGTGCCGTGTCAGTCTTATGAGTGGTGTATGGCTCCTTTAGAGTGTTTGGATATAGAATAACTTATTAGGTATTGGTGTTTGTTTGAAGTGATTTGTAATGGGTTTGAGTACCACCCTTTGCACGCATTTTCTACTATATATAGTCAATTTTGTTGTTCAAAAATAAGAGTAATAAATATTATACCGAAACACCATTTACAAATAATTATGCAAAGTGTGAAATTTTGTTTTCAACAGGATCAAGCAAAGTCAATTTGGGGAGATGAGGACCTTTCTTGTATATCCCTAAATCCTGGTACTTCTGCTATGCACAAACTTAGGTGAGAGAGAAAGTGAACTCAAGATTAACCATTTATCTGTTGCTGCTTTCCCCTACGTGCTTCCTTATCTTAGCTATTGGATTTTCGCTGTTTAATGTGAAGCCTAATGCATATTTATGGCATTTCAATGGCAGGCCTCAACCATCTTGGGATCGTACTTGTACAGCAGCAGCCGCTGCTGGCCTGCTCTCGGAACTCCAACTTCTTCCAAGATTTAGCTCGGTTGGATTGGATCAACAGTCAGAAGCAGTAGAACATGCTTTAACAGTCCTATTAGAAGCCCTCACGAAGAGACGACTTCGAATGGGAAGGTCCATAACAAGAAAAGTAAGGCCAAATAACATCTGTTAGAGATCTAACCAAGTTTTTTTCCTGACAAGTTATAAGCCCCTTGCAATTTTTAAAATGAGTAAATTATCAATCCTTTTAAGGTTTAATGAGAAATCGTAGCTGCGGTATTGCGAATTATCTTCCCGATATGTTGAATTGTTACAAAGGTTTCATTTACAAGAAGATCGATGTTGTTATATTACCTATATCCTCCTACACAATCTTCCTAATAGCCACCTAGTACTTCATGAAGAAAGTAATAGTACAAAATGAAAAAGGAAATGCATATAATATGTTAGTAGCTTGAGTAGGAGGATCTTTTAGAGAACAATGTATAATTTTTACCCCTGCAAGTGTTACAAACATCCATGCTTCTTAATGTTTTATGATTATCCCATTTGGTGTGACAAGGATCTTGTCTCATTATTACCTGAAGGATACATATCTCCAACATCCAACCACAATCTCTGCTAGCACTTTGGAGAAAAGATGAAGTGAGTTGAAAATATTTACAAAACACTTTTATTTTAATTTTAAAGTATTGTAAAATGTAGCAACCGGTTTGAAAATTTATTTAATATCCTTGAAAACACTCAAGCCAGTTTTTGAGTCCTTTTATCAGAGAATTTGATCTGACAGAGAAAAATAAAATGTCATAGTAATATGGAGGGACTAACCTAAAGTTCCTTATCTTTTTTATTCGTTATTTATCTTTGAAATTCAACCTGTTTTTATCCAACTCCATGTTTTGATATTTTGAAATGATCGGGGATGAAGAAACTGAGTGGGACGTAATTTTATTTATTGTTTGGATATTTTATTTTATTGTTTGGACCAAATATGTTAAGTTCACACAAATTAAGGAAACAAAAATGAAGGTAAATTATGAAATGTGTTCTTTCAGATTCTGTTTTATTTCATTTTTTTATTAAAATAAAATAGAAGTTATCGTATTGAAATTTAACTATATCTTCGAAATTTACTAATTCAAAATTTACACAACTTTCAAGAGATACATTTGAGAGTCTAATTCAAAAACTACTAAATTGAAGATTAAATTTGTTTAAGATTTGGAGTAAATATTTAAACCTAATCGTAAAGACAGTATAATTTTTCTTATATGTAATCGAGTTGACTCATGAACTTAACGAGTCGAACTATGTATAGTTCAAGTTCAGCTTATTTAGTTAACGAACTTAATTTTTCGCTTATACTCAACTCATTTGGTTCATGAACCTAGTTCAACGATTTAATTGTCGAATCGAATTTCGAACTATTTTTGAGTTGGTTCGGTTTATTGCAAGCCTTACTTGAGATAAATTTTTGTGACATGGTGCTGCTATGTTGACTTTGAACTAGGGGTGACAAAACGGATCGGACTCACCAGATTGACCCATTTTATCCTCCATTTTTGACGTGCTGGGCCGAGGTTTTCGGCTTGGTACTTTAAGTTGGCTCGCCCAGCCTAACCCACTTGAAAAGCAGGTCGGACGGGAGCGTGGTAGGTTTTTCCCGCAGGCTTTTTGTTAAAACTTTTTTATTTTCTTACTTAGAATTAAAACAACTTTAACTATTAAAAAACACTTTTCTCTTATAATTATGTTGATTGAATTGTATTATAAATTATTATGCAAACAAATTGAATTATAATTGTAACGTTCTTTCTATAACATTCTAATACATGTGTTAATTGGAAAAACTTGAAATAAAAGAACAATTGTATGACATCTGAATTATTAAGTTGTCAAACATTAGCTCACATGTTTTTTTTAGAAATAAATGTTGATTTTAAGAAAAGGAAGGATTTGTTTTTTTAGAAATAAATGTTGATTTTAAAAAAAGGAAGGATTTGATTAGCGTATACATGTTGATATTTTATGCACTATTATTTTCTGCATTGTGATATTTTATGCCGTGTAATTGTTTGTCTTTTGTAAATTCTTAATTGGATTCTTTTAGTAGTTAATTTTTAAATAGGATTAGGATGATATGTATTGTTTATTTATTTTGATACGTTTTTTATTGTGCTTGAGTTTATTTCATTATTTTTTGTTGTTGTAATTGATCTTTATTTATTTTATTTTTTGAATTGTTTGGACTTAAGACATGTTGAAGTTTTATTATTATGCGTTGTTAAAAAAAAATTTGTCTACCTCTTTAATAATAAATATTTTTTTTAATAAAAATTATGTAGTAAATCAAATTGTAAAATAAAAAATAAAAAATTAGCGGGCTGACTTGCCAATTCGCCAATTCGTCAATAAACGGGGCAAACTTTACTTTTGAGCTTAGACGCTTAAGTCGGTAAGCCCTGCCTCACCCCACTTTTGGACAGATTTAAATGGGATGAGTCTAAACGGGGCGGACCGCCCACTTTGCCACCCCTACTTTGAACCCATGGGTCAGGCAAAAAACACCCCTTTCTATTAGACTGCTATACTTTGTTGTTTATGATTTGTATCAACTAAATTATATTAACTAATAAATATTAAAATATATTTAATATTAAATTGAAAGTAAATAAAAACTAAAGTATTAATAACGTTTTCACAAATTAAAATAATATTAATGTTTTAATAATATTAATATTAATGTTTCAGTTTAATATTAACGTTTAATATTTAATTATTTAATTTTTACTATCAATTTAATATTAATTTTTAATTTTTAATAGTAATTAAAATATTAACATTATAAAATAATAATAAATATTATTTATTTATGTAACAATGTTAAATATTTATTATAACGTATTTAAAAAGTTAAAATTAATATTTTAATTTATTTTTTAAATAATAAGTGTTAAAACATATATTTGATGCAAACAATTAAGTATTTTCATTACATAAAGCTTAATACAAATATTTTTAGGTTATAATATTAATAAATTAATATATATCGAAAGTAATATATATCTTTAAATTAATAATGTCTTATAATTGATATTTTTTAATATATTATAAAATTTAATAAATAATATTTTATTATTAACATACTATAATATTATAATATTAATGTTTTCTTATTAACATTTTATAATTTTTAATATTTTATTGTTAACATTTATAATATACAAAAATATATGTTAAAATAAATATACCATTTGATAAATATATTTAACTATATTTGTTTAATAATATATTGAAATATATATATTAATATTTAATTAACATATTTATTGAATTAAATATATTATTAACATATTATAATAATTAATATTAATATTTTATAATATGTTAATTATTTCATTTTATTTTATTTTAATATGTTAATTATTTTATTTTATTTCATCAAAATACATTAATATTAATTTAGTTTAGTTTAGTAAAAATATTAACATTAATTTAATTTAGTTTTTTATTAATATTAATTTAGTTAAAACATTTAAAAAAATTAGTTTAGTTTATTAAAACATTAATATTAATTTAGTTTAGTTTATTAAAACATTAATATTAATTTAGTTTATTAAAAAATTATTAATAATTTAGTTTATATTTATTTTTAATTCAATATTAAATATATTTTAACATTTATTATTTAATATAATTTAGTTTATATTAAATATTAAATATTTAAATGAAATATAATAAAATAAAAAAATAAAACAATGGATTTAAAATAAATAAAATAAATAATTGAAAGTAAATAAAATAAGTAATAAATAATGAAGTGAAATTAATTTCTATTTTATTAAAATTATTATGGAATTAAAAGATTGAAGTGTAATATATATAGTTGATACAAACTATAAACAACAAAAACATAACAGCATTCGTCTCAAATAGCAGAAAGAAATGCGTATTAATCCTAAATTAAATTTGTTTCTCTCTCTTTCCATTTCCTCAACTCTCCAAATAATTGAACCAAAGTATTCCTTTAATAAAAATAATCTCCTTCATTTCCTTGTTTCTCCTCCAACTCCCATGAAATCAAATGGAAAAATGATTAAATTAAAAAATTGATTTGATTAATATGAGAATGACATCAATCTTTTTAAGTAATGGTGATATAGAATAGCACTGAGTGGGGTTGACACTTTCAAATTGCTGTGTAATATTCATATCACTTGTGTTTATCTTCTTCAACTTTGACCAAAAACATCATATCAAAAATTTCTCCTATACTATTGCTGATTTATAAGAATATCTAAACTACTACTAGTATTTTAATGATTGACTAAACCTCGATACATAAATAAATGATATTGACCTGAAAATAAAATATTAGATAGTTCTGAAAAATCAACAAGTAACAAACAAATTGTGCAGGTAATTTACAATTAAATAAACTTGAAAATTGCCACAATCAAACATTTCGGTTAATGTCAAACCTAATATTGTATGTAGTAAATAATAATGAAAATTTAAAACAAAAGTTCAATGTGTATCTCAAAAGTTGAATCATCCAACTTTCCTTTTATCAATATCATTAAATAACTATTTTCTTGATATTGATTAAATATAAATATTGATACTTGACCACTCATTTGGCCATTTGTTCTTGTAATGACCTCTTATTCTCTACTTCAAAATAGTTGTTGTTTAATTTTGAAAGGTTTTGGATAAGGATTACAGAAGTTGTTGAATACTTTTTCTAATGGCCTCTTTGATTTAAAAGTAGCAAATAACTTAAACTCTTTTTTGAGTAAATAATTTACTTTTTTTTTAAAATGTTAAAATAAAAAAATCAAATTTAAACTGTTAAGATTATCAAATTTAAACTTTAACACGATAAAATGTGCGAATTTAGTATGAAGACGTAAAAACAAATCAACTAATTTATTTTAAATAAGGTATGGTATGATATTGTCATATTTGAATATATGACTATTTTATTTATTTGTCATATTTTTGTTATGTGTTTATAGAATTATTACAACAGATTGGTTCAATCGTCCATGATACTTTTGATATTAAAATTGTTTTAAAGCATATGAATTTGCGAGTTTATGGTAAATTCGAGTGAATTCATGCATTTTAACATTTTTGTGTTTTCGTCATAATTTTGAAATCGGTTCAATT